TATATAGAGTATATACATACAGTATATGTTGTGTATATATTTATGTATCTTAAGATCTTATCTTATCTTATCTTAGAAGCAGATTCAAAAGAAAACAGATTTTTTTTGTAAATAAAAATTGAAACTTTGATGAGTCCAACATCATAGCACTCAGCTATGAGCTAGTAAAATCATAAATGAAATGTTAATATAGCAGACAGTATGCTGAAGTAGTCAGCAAACAAGCAAAAATAAAAATCACAAAAAGGGTGTGTGTTTAGGCAGAAATGAAAGTGAAATGCACAAAACTACTTTTGTTGTTTTTGCATCAAAATGGTCAAATAAACAAAAACAAACCAATCATTAGATCAACCCATGTTGGTTGGACTGTAACCAAATGACCTAAATACAAAAAACAAAAGCTTATTCTTTTTTTGTAAACAGTCAGATGAAAACATTAATTTCACCTTGAAGTCTGATTAGTATTAGAGGTTCATTAGCGTAGCTCAAAAGGGAGAACGGCGTAAATACTGGGCTTTAGCTTTGCTTCCCATTCCAGCTGTCAGACTTGATTTCAAAACATATTGGAGACACTTGCTTCAAAGTCTTTGTGAATATTTTTTTCTTAATGAGACCAAACTTAGCTAATAACAGATTTCAAAACTAAGTCCTAAAGCTGCCGCACATAAGCTTGTGACATTTAAAAATGGACAAAACAAGAGGAAAAACAGGATTCTTTTATGGCTGTTTTGGTCAAAAGTTGACAATAACATCATGAGCAAGCCTATGCAATGCTGCAATAAAACAAAATCATCTCATGYATAATCTGTTGGTGCTTGGAGTATGTGTTATGACTGAGTGTCAGCTACTACCACACCTAAATCTGTACAACTGACTGAAGTGTTGCCATTTTTATACAGTTAATTAGCCATTTTGAGATGGGCTGACTTTAAAAGCTAATCAGTCATAGATTTCAAGCCAATCAATCATTTCTTAAAGTTTCATTAAAAACAACCCAGTTTGCTCAAATTGTCTCTGCGGCAGCTTTATTTAATTTGTTGACATTAAACCAGTGACTACTTTATGTAAGTTTTATTAAATTTGTTCGTTGATTCATCAACTATTTTCTAACAATAAAGGCAAACAAACACACAGTGACAGAGGCAAAAACATTATTGCTCCACCTTTTTCTTTGGCAACAGGCAATAAAAAGAGGGGGAAGAAGAAGTCTGTGGTCTTATTGCTTAAGAATAAATTTGAAGGACCTATGAAAGTTAATCAAAAACATAAAATCCTTTTTAAACTAGAAATTAAAAACATTATTACAAGCCTAACTGGATTTTTTTTCCCTCTATGGTAGTAAATAAGGTAATGTAGTTAAAGGTGTGTGGCTTCCAATGAGCCAGCAGGGGTCTGTCCTGCTGAGTGAGTTGTGAGTTGTTGACTGGTGTTCTGCAGGAAGGAGCTATCAGTGTAAAAAGCACATGGTATGTGAGTGTGTGAGTGTACGTTTTTGCTACATCGTGGGAACCATCCATCCATTTTCTGTACACGCTTGTTCCTTTCAGAGTCGTGTGGGTCACTGGTGCCCATATCCAGCAGACACAGTGCGAGGGGCAGGGTACACCATGGACAGGTCGCAAGTCCATCACAGGGCCACACATAGAGACAAACGACCATTCACTCTCTCACTCACTTCTAGGGACAATTTAGAGTTATCAATTAACCTAACAGTCTGTGGGAGGAAGTCAGAGTACACGGAGAGAACCCACACATGCACGGAGAGAACATGCAAACTCTACCCAGAAAGATCCCGGGGCTGGGATTTGAACTGGCAACATTCTTGCTGAGAGGCATCAGCTCTACCAACTGAGCCACCCATTGTGAGAACCATTTTCCAGAAAAAGGCAGCTTCATGAGGGACCGAATGCGCATCGAGGGGACCAGTACCTGGTCCCCACGGGCATGGATTCCAAATTTGGGTCGGGGGTTAGGTTTAGGCCCAAGGTGTAAATTGAGTTTAGGTTAGTTTTAGAGTCAAGTAGGTAACTGTGAGGTTAATTTTAGGGTAAATGGTCAGGGTTATGCTTTAATATTACAAAAAAAGTACATGGAAGTCAATCCACGGTCCCCACTGGGATATAAAAACAAACCTGTGTGTGTGTGGTGTTTAGAAAACTGGTGGAGCAATTTGAGAGTTGAGTCACTCATTTGCTCCTTTAAAAAGTGAACATGAATTAGCGTTGGAGGTCTTTTCCAGAGGTTAAAGAAAAGTGGAAAATGTGTTTCTTTCTTAGTTTTTTTTGCTTGTTTTTTTTTTGTTTAGTTTCCTTTTTTGTTACAAAGTAATTTTGTCAAGAAGATGTAGGTTGCATTGACTTCTTCAWCATAATAGAGTCCCACCTGTTCTCAATTAAAATTTGATGCACTTTTTTTCTCTGTGTTTTAAAGGAATTTCTGAAACAGCTTCTGTATGTTTAGCTTTAAAGCACTCAACACCACCCAGTGGCAGCCTACAATAAAAAAAGCAGTAAAACCGTTTATTGCAGCCAAACAACAATCACTTTATCATCTATAAATTCTAACTGCTGCTTACATTTCTAATGCATACACACAGGCAATTAAGTGATTTCCTTCCTTTAATTAGTTATTTTTCCCTCAAACGTCACTCATCTACACACATCTGGTACTCTCTATTTAACAATAAAACCTTGTGTTTACAGTTTTCTATAAAGCCTGACATGGTTACACAAGTCTTGTAGATTTTACTGGATCTTACTTTTTACTATATTAATACTAGTTATGAAATATTGTTGTATGCATCACTTTAATGGCACTGTGCTTACTTAATCCAATATTTATTTTTCATATCATCATATAAATCTTAAATCTTATGTAGTTTTTATAGTTAATACAGTTGTCTGTTGTGATTGTTTTGCACTGAAAATAGTTAAATCCTAATTTCTAATGTCAAATTCTGATAGGTAACTACAGTCTCCAAAACAAAACTTATCTTTTTATTCTTGCACAATCGTTTATATTATATATTTTTTTATTATTAGTGGTAGTTAGTTTGTACATTTTCTATAGTTTGTGAACTAGTGTGTAAACCTCTGAACTGATGGTGGTGTGACACCTGAATTTCCCTCGGCAGGACAATAAAGGCTATTTTTTCTTCTTCTTCTATTTAAAATATTACTAGGTCCACAGAGAATAAATAAGAACATTTAATAATTATCAGATAGCTACTTTTTATGTGAAATTATAATGCATTATATTAAAAGAAAAATCGCAGCCATACTGTCTTTACCACTGGTCTTTAATCTTGGATGTATGCTGTAAAATAACACTATGTAAAAGGTGAGTTGCACCTGCAGCACTGATGGATAATTAGTTAAACAGCACCCTCTGCTGTTTCTGACTATTATGAAAGCTTCACTTAAAAAGTATTTGCCAGCTACTGTAGCTGACTTAATAAAAAAATCATTACGTTTTAACAATGCTTAGTCATTAAAATATTCATCAAAATGAATAATGAATTAAACWTTCGCTTGACTAAGAATCCAATCACAAAACTGAACTAGCATAAAAGTTATGAACTTTGCTCGTCAAATAAACAGTAAATACTCCACCATCACTGCCCTCTTGCACAGATTTGAATAAGTTGGTTGTGATGAATAGAAAATCTAAAACAAAGTTGCGTTTCAAAAAGCACCCTTTTACTACAATAATTATTAAGATTGAACAAAATTCTAGATGTGTCTTCCTTCCAATTTGTGAAGAATATTAGGAAATACATATTTTGGATTCTGAAAAAAATGTAGAAAAATATCCGATTGTCCAATCTTGTGTCAAAGTGTTTTTCTTTTATGTAAATTAATTTGGTTTGCACTTTTAGCAGCAGATATGAAACTGAATGATGATTATAATTTAAAAGAGGGATTATGGGAATGCCTTTGGTAGCTGTGTCAATGACTCTACAAACAGTCTGTATTTRCAAACCCATGTTTGGCGAGCAGACATAAAGTCTCGGTAGAGCAACAGGTAAACTAGTGGCTTTTCATGAAGGGGCGGTTAGAAGTAGCAGAAACATAATTGGTCAGTGGTAAAAATATAAATCAGACCTCTAAGAGTCGGGAAAGAAGTCTGCACTGAGGAACCATGAAGGTTTTGTGTGTGGCTGCTGTTGTGTTGAGCTTCATCTCGGTGGGCCAGCCTGCGCCGCTGACCTGCGACACGCTGGTAAAACCTTTGGAGAAAGGTGGAGAAGTAAGTCTTTGTTTCCACCTTTATCTGTTTTAAGCCACTGSATTTAGTGGATAGCATCTTTTGAACATAACAAATTAAAACCTTAACCATGTCGCTTTTATTTCAGGTGTCTGGAAGATGGTACTTCATAGCTGCATCAACAGAGATCTGTTTGACTACAACATTGTTGGACAGTTTTATTTCGCCAAGTTTTGCAATAGACATTACTTCTAAAAACACACCCAACGTCTATGAAGGCATGACTATGATTAAAATGTAGGGTGTATTTTATTTATTTATATAAAATGCACAAATTGTGGAGCTTAGACTCATGTGCTGATTATTGTTTTGGTGTTTATTTGTATGTCATTTATCCCAGGTATGGATATTGTGGCAATGTATCTGAGGCTTTTTTCTATGATATCAACAAAACGTATGATGTCGACAGTGAGAGTAAGAGTTCTGCTTGTTATACGTTTTACACTAATGTTTGCCTTTTCTTGTTCAGACTTTGACTTTGCAGACTTTCTTGTTACTTGTTTCCTACAGATGCCCCAACTGGTGATCCGGACACAATGCTGTACACTAGCTGCCCCGACTGCCTTGTTGTAAAGGAGAAAGACGTCATTGACTCTCTTGTGCTCCTCAGTAAGAAAATAAATACTAGACATGGGTTTTTATGATGTAAAAACAAGTGTGCATTGCCATGTAGCATGTCATTGCAGCATGGCTTTGCCTGCAGCACTGGAGTTGCAGAAGGAACTGTGACCAAGTTCAAATTTATTATCTGTACCAGCTTGTGCCTGTCAAGTCAGCAGGTGTTTGTAATTAGTGTGATTGTATGACAATATGACAATGTGAAAATATTTAGTTTTATTGAAATTGTTTGGCGTAATGGGTGGCGGCCGAAGGAGGGGACCCTGGCGGTCTGATCCTCAGCTGCAGAAGCTGGCTTTTGGGACGTGGARCGTTACCTCTCTGGTGGGGAAGGAGCTGGAGCTAGTGTGYGAGGMTGAGAGGTTTCGGCTAGAAATAGTCGGCCTCACCTCGACGCATGGCTCTGGTTCTGGAACCAGTCTCCTTGAGAGGGGCTGGACGTACTTCCACTCTGGAGTTGCYTGCGGTGAGAGGCGCCGGGCAGGAGTGSKCATMCTTGTTGCCCCCCATCTTGGCGCCTGTACGTTGGGGTTTACCCCGGTGAATGAGAGGGTAGCCTCCCTCCGCCTAAGGGTGGGGGGATGGGTGGACTTCTGTGCTCGTCACGGATTGTCCATCACGAACACCATGTTCAGGCATAAGGGTGTCCATATGTGCACTTGGCACCAGGACACCCTAGGCYSCRGTTCGATGATCGATTTTGTCGTCGTTTCATCGGATCTGTGGCCGTATGTCTTGGACACCTGGGTGAAGAGAGGGGCCGAGCTGTCAACTGACCACTACCTAGTGGTGAGTTGGCTCCGGTGGTGGGGGAGGAAGCCGGTCAGACCTGGCAGGCCCAAACGTGTAGTGA